AAAAAAAAAAAAAAAAAAAAGAAGGGTGAGCAGTGGTGAGGCAAGTGGTATGGAGATAGGCAGAAAGGGTTGGAATCTCTACTTTGCCTCTTCTTACCTGATTCATAGTTGACTTAAATTTCTGAATCCATAGTTTCTTCATCTCCCACCCCTTTGTAATAGAGATTGAACCTTGGGGTGTCTATCACTGACTTAACGTCCCCACCCCTTCTCAATTTTTATTTATTTTTAAATTTTGAGACAGAGTCTCACCAAATTACTGAAGCCTCCAACATGTGATCTTCCTGCCACAGTTTCCTGAGTCCGCTGGAAGACTGCAGGCGTGCACCCATGCTCCCAGATTCTTTATTCTTTAAAATAGCCTAATTATATTTTTGAGGCATGGTTGTGAACATTCATTGATTTCATTGAATGATTCATTGAATGCCTGTTAGTGCCAGGTGCTGGGCTAGGCATTGGGATAAAAAAGGGAAATAGAGACGAGGTTCCTACCCTTGTGGGACTAACATTCTAGTGGTACTGAAGAAAGTAAAATTGTTGCACAGAGGAATAAATTAGAAACTGTTAAGGGTTCTGAACGAAGGAAAGGAACACACTTGAGCTGAGAATTGAAGGATGTGTAGAAGTCAACTTTGTGGCAAGGAAAGGACCATGGAATACCTGGGAGTTAGTATCATTTCAACTGCCTGATTTATAGTAGTAGCGGCCAAGGTTTAAAATCACTAATAGCTAGGCACAGTCCTAAACTCTTTACTTAGATTTTCCCATTTAATCATCATACAAACCTTTGAGGTGCATGCATATTACTATCTCCATTCCTCAGAGTGGAAACTGAGGCACAGAGAGATACTAAGTAACTTGGCTCAAGTCACCTGCTCTCGAGTTAATGAGTCGGGATTCTACTCCAGGCAGACTTCATAGCGTTTGTAGCATGGTACACAATAAATGGTGCCTGTTAATGAAAGGCCTGTACATCTGGCAGAGGGCAGAGTGGGAGGCTGTCAGAAAGAGGGAACTGCAGAAAGTGGCACAGAGAAGTGCTACCAAAACCTTTTAGTAGTTGGTGGAAACTTTTCCACTTTTTAGTAGTCCATATTTTGGGTAAGACCAATGCACAAAAAGCAGCCGCGCTGAGAATGAGCCCCGTGCGGTTGGTGCGCGAAAGCACGCACTGCCTGCGTTACTAGGAGAGATGACGGACGACGCCCACGCCACACGCCGCTCAGCTCCCCCGTCGCACGCGGCGGGATCGCTTCTTGGCGGATAAGCCAGTGACTGGCGGGAAGGTCTACGTGCGAGCGCACGTGGCACTCTCTGCCGGAGGTCCGGGGACTTTCCCCTAGGCGGAAAGGTAAGGAACTAGTCCCTCGTTTGTAGCCTAGGAAACAGGCCTTCAGCACGCACTGCGGTTCCTGTTGTGCTCTGTGGCTCTTTATAGCTCTAGGAGAAACTTAATCTTTTGATTAGGGTGAGGAAATTGGTGATGCGGGATATAAAAGAAAGGATTTTCAAGCATAACTTTTTTTTTAAGAGTTTATGTTTCTGGGAGCGTTTTGACTAATAGAATACCTAAATCGGTGGACAATGAACTAACTTAAGAAAGCCAGGAATTGGTCTTATGCAAATATCCTATGGTCACGCCCCACACGATTGGGAGTGGCCTCACTGGGGGATCCGGCGCGCGGGATCCGCTCGGGTCGCGTGCGCGCCTGCGCACTAGGGAGGGAGGGCAACGCGCAAAGTCTGGGCACCCAGCTTGCCCGCCTGTGGGCCAGCAATGGCCGGCGCGGTTTCGTCCTCAGGTGTCCTGGGGCTGATGCTTATATCTGCGCTGCTTGGGGTTCTCGGAGAGCCCCCCAGCTCCGACTTCGGAACACACCCAGGTACCGGGGAGGGCTGCTGGAGGGAGGCTGGGACTGCAAGGGAGGAGCCCTCGCTTTGCCGACGAGTCTCTTCTCTCCCTCCGCAGGACACGGCGCCCAGGTCAGCCTTGGGGCCTCCGAACCCTGTCGGCGGTCGCCGCCCAAAGACCAGCGCGAGCGGGCCCGGGCTGGCGCGCTGCCTTTGGGGGCTCTGTACACTGCAGCTGTCGTGGCTTTTGTGCTGTACAAGTGTTTGCAGGTGCGTGACGGCAGTGGGTGGGGCTTTCCAGGGCCTGAATTTCCTGTGGGGGCGCTATAGTATCAAAAACAGGACTCCGCTTCCCTCTGTCTATAAATTGAAGTCAGTAGTTTCTTGGCTTTCCCACGTTATAGGGTTCGAAGGATCAGACAGGTAATGGATAAGAAGGGCTCCTGGTAAATTGTAAATGAAGACCGTCACATTTACCTCTTCCACAATCCAATGAAGAGCGATCACTAAGTAAATAGTGGAGCTGGGATTTGAACCCAGCTGCTGTGTGTACTACCAAAGTGCAGTTCTTGGTGAGGATCCAGCCTTGGCAGCAGTTGATTGCTGCAGCCCCAGTGTGTTCAGAGTTCAAGACATCAAGCAGTCTCAGGTTCTCCTTGGGAAAGAGGCCCTGAAATATGAGCTGACAGTACATTTTGGTGGATTGAAACTGTTGAAATGGAAAGTAGTACCACCCAGGGCTGTATCTTTAGTCCTGATCCTATCACTCACTTGCATTAGGAAACAGGGCTATATGTTGAGAGCTTCGTAATGTTTTGAACAAATAATAATAATGATGATGATAATAAAGGAAACAGGGCTGAACCAGTTTGGAGATTATATGAAACTAGAAGAGTTAGCTAGTAATCATCCCAAGTATACTTGACAGGCAAGGATGAGGATATGAATTTAATGATAAAATTTAATAAGTTTGGGGGCTGGGATTGTAGCGCAGTGGGTGGAGCGTTTGCCTTGCATGTGTGAGGTACTGGGTTTGGTCCTCAGCACCACATAACAATAAAGGTATTGTGTCTGTCTACAACTAAAAAAAAAATTAACAAGGATAGATTAATGAGTTTTATTCTTGGGCCCAAGTACAGTGAGGAGGAAACAACTTAGAACCAGCACCTATAAAAGAGGCATTACAGTTGACTATTAAGTCCATTGTGTGATGTGGCAACCCACTTCCCAAATCAGTACACTGAACAAGTTATTGTGCTCCATCTGCACTACATGCTCAGGAAAGCAACTGGAGAAAAACATGTGAATGGAGCACTGACACAAAAGATTTAAGATTTTATACCAGAAAAGATGGGAAGGAGGCAGGAGTGCAACCATTGTCTTCAGATTCCTATCATGTTGAAAATACAGACATTATTTGGAAGGCTTTTGTCAGCATTACGGATACATAAAGGAAAAATTTCTGACTGTGTATGATAACCAAAGCTTTATCAAACTGGAGAGGTTTGCTTATTCCTGGAGATAGTTCCACAGATAGAGCATATAGGGGGCATACTGTTAGGTTGCTTCATGTCTCGGGTAAGAACCTGGACTAGAAATGAGATTCTATTGGGTTAAAAACCCAATAGCTGGGACTGGGCTTGTGGCTCAGTGGTAAAGTGCTTGCCTAGCACATGTGAGGCACTGGGTTTGATCCTCAGCACCACAATAAAATAAAGTATTGTGTTCATTTACAACTGAGGAAAACAAACAAACAATAGCTTTCTACTGCAAATTCTCCTGTCCTTACTAGTTATGGGAGACTTAGGTGCTAGAGCAGAACTTTGTTGCTACTATATTGCCCTTTTCTTCTCCCCCTACAGGGCAAAGATGATGCTGCAGTTTTCCAAGAGGAGAAAGACAAGGAGGAATCATTGCAGTCAGGTGGGTTAAGCATAAGTCTGTCCTTGGTGGTGATGGTGAGGAGACTGGGACAGCAGAATGGTTACTTAACTTTGCTCCCCTTTTCTCCCTAACCCTCAGAGAGGCATCTGGCCCAGTTGACACAACAGCTGACCCAGACAGAGCAGCACCTGAACAATCTAATGTCCCAGCTGGACCCCCTTTTTGAGCGGTAAGAATTTATGGCAGGTGGGAGTAATGGAGACAGTTTGGGCAGCCCCTGAGTGAGTATTTCTGCAGTGTGACTACTTTGGTTGGAGCCCAGCGGGAGCTTCTGAACATGAAGCTACAGACCATCCACCAGCTTCTACAAGACTGTAAACCAGATAAAGGTGTGGAGGTTCCAGAACCAGGTAAAGGGTTGAGAGCTGAGTCTGGTGATGGGGAGATAGTCTCTGAAACTGGAACATGCTGATCTTTCCTTTCACAGAGGCCGGCATACCTTCTCCTGAGGACTTAAGAACAGAGGAGGATGAAGAGGCTGGTGACAGTCAGGACTGGGAAGAACCCATAAATTGGAGCACAGAGACTTCCTGGGAAGTAGAGCAGGGGCTACGGAGAAGATACAGTAAGACTGTGACAAAGGAATCCAGATACAGCTCCAGCCAGGAAGAAAGGACAACAGCTGAAGGTTTAGTAAAATAAAGTCTATCCTTTAGTAAAATAAGTCTGCTTCTGTGCACTTTTTTCTCTCCCCGTTGGTCATACACCCATACTAGGTGCCTCAGGCCTCCTTGAAAAGCTTCCCTTATTAGGACAAAAGACACTGCCTTCCAGAGTGAGAGCAGAGAAGACAGAGGGAGCTCCAGTTCTTTTCCTTGTATTCCTGAGGCTACCAGCATGCCAACCTTCAGGGCCCCCCCTAAATCCCTTTTTTCATAGGTGAGACAGAATAATCTTTCCCAAAACATTTATTAAAATCCAGTGGGAAAATAAATTATAGAAAACTATATACAACATAAAAATAGCCACCCTTAACAAAGCTGCATACCCATAGAGGGTATGAGCTTACCAGCCCCAAATCCCCTCATCTGTGTTGGAGGGTCTAGTTCAGCTGAGGTTGTTAGCTGATTTCCTGATTTTTGTCTGCAGTACTGGGGACTGGACCCAGGGGCAGTTTACCACAGAGCTACATCCCCAATCCTTTTAATTTTTTGAGACAGGGTCTCTTGCTAAATTGCCCATGCTGGACTTGAACTTGTGATCCTCTCGAGTTGCTAGGATTATAAGCACCAGCCACCATGTCCCCAGCCTGGGTTCCTGATTCTTAAAATGATCCCTGTCAAACCAAGAAGGGTTCTGTACTTTTAGTGCTGAAGAAGATTCCTTTGTACTTCTGGCTCTGACCTATCCCCGAAGTATTCTGAGTTTTGAATTTGTAAGATTCCTCTAGTTGTTCTGGCTGCTGTGGAGAAAAAACAGTTCAGGTACTAACATGAGCACTCCATTTAGACACAGCCACCTGCAGGGTCGGGGAAGGTCCCAGGAGATATGGGAATGAGGTAGGATTAGACCTGTGATCCTGCTCATTTCAGTCCTGGGTCTTGTCACAGCACTCTTCTTGATAAAGACACAACACAACTCACCTGATAGCCAAAGTCAGACTGTGGTACCAGTGTGACAGCTCCTCCTGGTCTGTGGACATAAGCAGTAGCTTCTCACGGGGGAAGGACAACTAGGGAGAGACCACCTCTTAGTGCATGGCTCAGAAAGGTCCAGGCTGAAGCCCTTGCTATTCCATTGAGGTGATTTAGGACTGAGAACTATGAGGCTCAAGCCCCAGGTATTTCTTATATCCTCTCATTATTATGAAAAGGGACCCAGGTGAAGGAGATAAACAGGCCCAATAGTGTTTGAGATATGTTTTGGATCTAGGGTTCCTGCTATTACTTACGCTGAGCAGTCCACCACAAGGGCCTCCTGAGTGGCCAAAGACCCTGCAGAGTTGACACTGGGCCATAGGATAGAGGGCTTTACAGGCAAAGGTGCCACTTTGCAGCAGGTGCAATGGGGATCGAGGCTTGGCCATAAGGAGCACATCGGAGAAGAGGAAGAACATGCGAGGCCGAGGTTCCCCACTGGAAGGCACCACCAACAGCCACCCCTGGCGTAGGAACCAGCGTCCTGGGGGATGGGAGAGCTGTTATTTTGGTGCAGCTCTAGGATCCATGGGAATAGGAGGAAAGAGGTAGAGTTTGAGGGGCATGCATGGGTTCTATAGAGGAAGAGATGATAGGCAAGAAGGATTTGAGGATTGAGATGAAAAAGTAAACAATCTACCTGAAGTAAGTCCCTTTGTCTGGCGTCCACTGAGCAGAGCCTGGATTCGCCGGAGGTGCTGCTCATTCTTCTGTTTCTGACCAATGCTGTGGACTCTCTGGGCAGTCTCACTTATCAGCCGTGCAGCCCCTAGAATATAACACCTTCAACCTCAATGCTCACACACTTTTTACTTTGGGTGACTGATTGGTACTGGTGAAAGACAGGCTATGCTGGAGGGGACCTGGGTCAGGGTCTAACTTCTTGAAGAAAAGGTAGGGCAATAAGGATATATTAGTGGAAGCTAGGAACATACATTGTTGGAAATCAGAACCAGAAAAGGATACAAGAGCCAGCCTCCTGCCCGAGCTGAAAAGGAGCAAGAACTTACGTGTGAGCTGTTGATGGTCAGGACTATTGGGACCTGTATTTTCAGCCAAAGCAACAACCAGATTCTCATACCTGGAATTAACAGTGTAAGTCTACAAGGGGAAGTAGAGCCAGGCAAAATTCCCTTTGCCTCTGCTTGACACACAATCAGCCCCCATATATTCTTCAGTTGCAGGTCCAGGAAAGATCTGCTTCTGGCTACTGTATCCCCTTCTTTCATCTGGGACTTGGAACCTGGGCTCACACCATTTGGCCCGCTTCAATTCCACACTGAAGAGTCAAAGGCAGGCCACAGTTTGGAAGGCCAGGTCAGGATATGAATGTTAATCAAACCTAGAAGGATGCTGCAGACAATCTATGAACCCTTAACCCATTCCCAGGGACAGAGATTCTAGTGTAGGTTGGCCACTCATTTCAACAAACTTCTCCAGATAACTTGTCTCAGACCCTATTGCAGCCCCACTCACTTTACAGGGTTACACAGTCTCAGACTATGGGTACTTGTGTGTTCACATGTACTCTTGTAAAATAGAAGAAAATCTGGCTCAGGAGAGAGCCAGTAGGTTGGGATAGACCCCATGACATCCCCCAAAACTGAGGACAGCAGTTATATAGTCTGAAAGAGACTTGGTTGGAATTGAGGGGAGTTCACTCACTGCTGCAGCCGCTGCAGAGGCAGAGGAAGCAGGTCTTGAAGCTTAAGTCCCCCAAACTCAGGGCGACCTTCCTGAAGGTGCACAAACCTCCGAAAACGCTTGTTTTTCTTTAGTTGTTCCTAGAGTGAGGGGAAAATAATTGGCAACAAGAGAAGCCACTCCTTATATTGCATTCATCTGTGTACAAACTCCAGCCTTCAGTAACTGTGTGCTCTGTGCTCCTGAGAGAAACTTGGTCTCCCTAGGAGAAACTCAGCACAGGCTAAGCACCCAGAGCTCTATAAATGCAGGGATTATGTGAATGAAGTTTGGTTTCTAGATGAAGAGAAAATGTGAGGGGCAAACTAGACACTAGGGAAAAGGGATGGATTTGAGGTCATCTCCAGGTTACCTGTAGGGTGGTGTGGGACCTCTCCGCATTAGCTGCAAATTGGGTGTAGAGCTCCAGGTGGTGGCAGAAGCCTTCCAGCCCCTGTCCCCACTGTCCTTCTTCCAGGTAGGGAAGCAGCATTCTGTGTGGGCAAAGTCAGTAAAAAGGAAGCCCAAGAACTACTCAAGGACTCCCTCACTTAATTCTCTTAATTCTACCCCGAGGTAGTGCTATTAACCCATTTTACAGATGGAGAGCCTAGCAGGTTAAGGAATTGGGCCAAGGCCACAGGTGAGAAAATTGGCAGACTTGATTCGCTCTGACTCAAGACAGAGCTCCTTGCCAGAAGTTATGGCCCTCCCTCTTCTCGCGCCCCTTCCACTCACTGGCTGGCGCCGTAGATGAGCTCCCAGGACCCAAATAGGGCCTGGCGCTCGGGTGGTCGTAGAGTCCCCTTGGCTTTCAGGATCCCCAAGAAGTACTGTGGAAGGAGCGAATACAGGTGTCGAGAGGAATAGGCCAATGCAAGCTTCAGCCAGACAGACGCTTGCCTGACCCCCTATATGCAGAATCCAAGACCCACCATACTCGGGGTCATCACCTAGCAGAGACCTTCCCACACCCTGGGCTCCCAACCCCACACGAGGAGGCTGCTCCGGGCCCGCACCGTGGCCACCAGCCCTAGTTGTTCCTGGTAACGCCGCTCGGTCTCGAGCAGCTCCCGGGCGGTGCAGGCGCGTTTCCGCTCCCAACGAGCACGCTGCTCCCGCACCGGGCACCGCGAGCTGGGATCTGGGATCTCCATTACTGTCCGAGGGTTTGATGCTTCCGGCCGCAGCCCGCCGGAGATTCAAATTCCAACGCTCCCAGGGCGGGGCCCGGGTGGGATAGGGGAGGAGCTCGCAAGACGGAGCATGCGCGATGGCCATCGGCTCGCCTTTTCCTGTGGTCACCCCAACACAGGGGCAACCCCTTAGGTGGGCGTGGACTGTGGCCGAGGTGTCCGCACTAAGTTGGGGCAGCAGCTGGGTTTGGAGTCAGGACACTCAATAGGTGCAACCACTGGCAGGGCCTCATGTCTTTTTTTTTTTAACCCCCTTTGGGTACCTGGGACTAATCTCAGGGACATTCGACCACTGAGCGACATCCCCAGCCCTACTTTTTATTTAGAGACATAGTCTGAGTTGCTTAGCACCTTGCTTTTGCTAAGGCTGGTTTTGAACTCGCGATCCTCCTGTCTCAGCCTGAGTCCCTGGGATCACAGGTGGGCGCCACCCTGCCGGGCTAGCCTCAGTGTCTTATTTGTAGAATTGGGAATGGGACAATCATTACGGTATGTATTCTGTCCTGGGCCCATGCCAGTCTACAGAAGGGGTTCAGTCATTCCCAATGTTTTCAACCTTTCTGGCCTCTGAACAAACAAGTTTACAGATTTTAAGTTATTGTTTTATTCATTTCCTACTGGTCCAAAGCCTGACAGCTCACTAGCTTCTGATGAGGATGTCAATTAAGTGGTAGTTCTGATTTGCTGTAATTTTAACCCAGGGCAAAAGCTTTGAGTTGATGGGTCTTTGCTGCCTTACCAAAAATGAAATGTACTTGGCGGGGTGTGGTGGCCCATGCCTATAATTCCAGCAGCTGTGGAATCTGAGGCAGGAGTGTGGCAAATTTAAGGCCAGCGTCAGCAACTAAGAGAGACCTTGTCTCAAAATAAAAAATAAAAAATAAATAAATAAAAAGAGGGCGAGGGATGTATCTCAATGATAAAATGCTCCTGGGTTCAAGCCCCAGTACCTATAAAATAAAAAATAAACATAAAATGTTCCTGGGCTGGGATGCGGCTCAGTGTTAAAAGTGCTTGGCTAGCATGCATGAGGCCCTGGGTTTGATCCTCAACACACAAAAAATAAATAGATAAAATAAGGTGTACTGGGCTGGGGTTATGGCTCAGTGGTAGAGTGCTTGCCTAGCACGCGTGAAACACTGGGTTCCAATTGAGTCGAATGTATGAAAGATGATATGTCTTGAGCTCTGTAATGTTTTGAACAACCAATAAAAAAAAAAAAAAAAGAAACACTGGGTTCGATCCTCAGCACCACATAAAAATGAAATAAAGATATGTGTGTCCACCTTCAACTAAAAAAAGAATACTTTTAAAAAATAATAAGGTGTACCAGCAGGGCTTGAGGCCTGAGGGTGAGGGAGGAGGATCTCTGTGAATTCCGGCCAGCCTAGGCAATTTCCTAAGACACTGTCTCAAAATAAAACTTATTTAAAAAACAGCTGGGATGTAGCTTAGCTGTAGAGTACTTGCCTGCCAAGTACAAGGCCCTGGGTTCCATTCAGTACAAAAAGAGTAATGATAGAAGATTTAGTGTTATAAGATAATTATTGTATTATACATTTGTGTTTTGTGGGCCAGGTGTTTATCAGGGTGTAACAAGGATGGCTTGTTTATGTTAATTATGTTTGGGGCCTCAAATGCCGAAAAATGATTAAAATGGTTGGTGCTGGAATAAAAAAATAGTAATGATAATAATAAATGTAGGGGCTGGGGTTGTGGCTCAGTGGTAGAGCACTTGCCTAGCACATTCGAGGCCCTGGGTTTGACCCTCAGCACCACATAAAAATAAATAAAATAAAGGTATTGTGTCCAACTGCAACTAAAAAACAAAAAAGAAAATAGAGTGTTTCCTAATTTAAAAGAGCAATAATTCCTAAAAAATAAGTGGAACAATTTAAATCTATGAAAATAGAGGAAGGTAAAACACAAAACAACAAAGTTAAAAAAAAAAAACTTAAAAAATAATAAATGTACCCAATTTTCCTAATTTAGTCTTTTGAAAAACTGGAAATAGCCATGTGGTAAATTGGCAATGCCATTTTGTTAGTATGTATGTATCAGCTCTTTTTTGTGGGGGTACTAGGTATTGAACCATAGGGTGCTTTACCACTGAGCTATTTCCAACCTCTTTATTTTTGATTTTGAGACAGGGCCTCGTTAAGTTGCCCAGAGCCTTGAACTTGTGATCCTCTTGCCTCAGCCTCCAGAGTGTATCAGACTAGTGGTTCCTAAATGCATCTTAATGACTATGTGGACAAATATATGTGCCAGAATGTCTGGCACAGTATTTGTAACAACAGAAAACTGGAAACCACCTAAAATGTCCAATGGTAAAGAACTGGTTAGAAAAATTATGGTACAGCCAGGTGCAGTAGCTTATTCCTATAATCCCAGCTATTTAGGAGGCTGAGGCAGGAAGATTACAAGTTTGAGGCTAGGCTCAACAACTTAGTGAGAACCTCAAAATAAAAGTGTAGGGATGTAGCTCAATGGTAAGGAGCCCCTGGGTTCAATCCCCAGTGCTACCAAAACAACAACAACAACAAAACAAACAAAAAATCCCCCAGCTATTTGAAGGAATAATATGAAAACATTAAAAATGATGTTTAAGGGGCTGGGGTTGTAGCTCAGTGGTAGAGCACTTGCCTTGCACATGTGAGGCACTGGGTTCGATCCTCAGCACCACATAAAAATAATAAAAAAGAAAACACTCATTATATTATAAGTATATTGTTGAGGGGGAAAAGCAGGCTATAAAACTGTGTAACATATAAAAGGAAGACTAAATAATCAAAAGCTAATTGTGTTTTTAATCTCTGTGTGATCAGAGTGAAGATAATTTGGACAAAGATGTATTATGTACCTAACCTGTTCCAGACAGTGAATCACTAAGATTCAAGGTACAAATGGGACTAATAGAGTTATTTTAAAAAGTCCCTCTTCTCCTTCCAAGTATTCAGCTTTGAGCATGCCTTATTTATAATTAGAAAATACATTTCGTAGTAGGAAACAAAATGTTAAGAGAGAAACTACCATTTTGGATTCTCAGGAATCTGGGCCCCAAGCCAAGAACCAGGGGATTGTCAGGGTTCTAAGCTCCCCTCCAGCTCTGATATTCTAAGAATTCTAAGAATGGGAAAATGCTGGGCTTAGACCAGGCAGGAACAACTTGAAGATCTTGGATGGAGAAAAGTTAAGAGTTTGGATCAGACTGTATCTTATGCTCAGGTCCCGTGGAAACTGGTGACAACATATGGTTACACTGTCTCAAATGAATGAGGCACAGTTCATACTAAAAGCTCAAGTATGGAAAAAGCCAGAGAATCCCATAGTCATCAGTATCACTGTGACCCCAGGTGATGAGAATAGAACATCAGAATGCCTGGTGGAGGCAGTTGGTGACCGGTATGTTTGAGGATGCTGCCATTGTGACTGTGCTTAAGGGAGAGAACAGAGCCTACTGTGAGCTCAGGTGAGGGAATCATTCAATTGTGGAGGAAGGAGAGGGAAAAGCTGAGAAGACATACTAAGGACATTCTGTGTATCCACTCTAGTTCCACCACACTGATGATAGACTAAACAGTGGCCCCCAGAAAGACCTGTCCAGGTCCATGCCTTTAGCCTGCAAATGTGACATTCTTTGGAAAAAGGGTCTTTATAGATTAAAGATCTTGAGATGAGATCATCTTGAATTATCTCAGTGGGACCTAAATCCAAAAAGTGTGTTGGTATTGATACCCTGTGGGGTACACCTGTAATCCCAGCAGCTCAGGAGGCTGAGGCAGGAGGATTGCCAAGTTAGAGGCCAGCCTCAGCAACTAACCGAGGCCCTAAGCAGCTTAGTGAGACTCTGTCTCAAAATAAAAAGAGCTGGGGATGTAGCTCAGTGATAAAGTGCCTCTGGGTTCAATTCCCAGTATCAAAAAAATAAATAAAGTCACCCTGTAGAAGACACAGCATCAGAGGCAGCTGCCACATAAAGCAGGCAGATATTGGAGTATGCTGTGTCCTGACCTGGGAAGATTCAGGACACAAGAATTCCAGAAGTTACTAAAAAAAAAAAAAAAAAAAAAAAGAATTCTAGGAGCTCAAACCTGTTTAGTGTTTGGCAGACTCCCATATGGTGTTATTGTCAGCCTCAAGCCCAGGAGTCATAAGAATCTAGAAGAGGCAAGGAAAGATTCCTCCCTGGAGGCTTCTTAAGGAGCCTGGCCCCACTAATACCTTAATTTTAGACTTCTGGCCTTCAGAACTGTGAAAGAATAAATTTCTGTTGTTTATACCTAGTTTTTGATAACGTTTTTCTCAGATTTGGGGGATTGAACCCAGGGTCGCTCTAACATTGAGTTACACCCCAGTTTTTATGTTTTAATTTGAACCAGGTTGTTGTTACATTGCTGAGGCTGTCCTTGAATTTGTGATCCTTCAGCCTCAGCTTTCCAAGTAGCTGAGATTAAGGTGCGCAAGACTATACCCAGCGAGTTTGTGGTAATTTGTTACAGAAGCCCTTATTACAGCCGCCCTAAGGAACTATTAATACAGATGGTGCAATGGGCCAGAACTACAGGTCAGCCTCAAACCTCCAGAAAGGCTTTGACCCGTCTTTGTTCCCAATCCGTGGTTGGAGAAAAGGGATCTTTTCTCATTCTACCCTGTCAGCAAATACCTCCCTCCTCTGCAACCCTGAGCTAATCAGAAACACGTTTAAGTAACGTGTTCCTGAGTGTTTGACAACACAGATCCCGTTGACAGAAAACTTGGTCTTAAACAACTGCAGTGACTTCTGCACCAGGTGGGGACTACCCCAGTTGATTAGACCTGGGCAGATTCAGGACACAAGAATTCCAGGAGCTCAAACCTGTTTTAGTGTTTGGCAGACTCCCAGCTGTGAAGGTGTGATCCAGGATCAGAGTTCACATCTCCACCCAGGCCAGAGGAACAGTAACTCTAGAAAGGCAAGGGAGAGATGGAACCATAGGGAAGAGTGTTTGGAAAGTTAGTGAGCTGTAACAGAGTGAGAGTTCAGCACCTATAGGCAGATATGTGATCTGAAATACTCAGAGAATGCCCCACAGATAGTGGGGAGGGATGTACATAGAGATATGGGGTCATAGCTAATGCTTCAGGGAAGTGTATGGAGAGATCCTGCCTAAAAAAGAAAAAGACTCAAATGTTCAGAATATTTGGAAAGAGAAATGAACAAAAGCTGACTCATGTAGGAGAAAGATGTCTAGTTGTACAGTCTCCAGTTAGCATGGTACTTTTACTGTCTCTGCTCCCAAAACCTCTCACACCTCAACTAAATTAGTTACCACATTCTGTCTTGCACAGGCCCATCCAATTCAGATCTTACCATTTGCCTTCCAGGTTTTGGTTGCCAAACAAGGTGCTGACAACATAGCTCACCATCCAGATTGCATGCTGGATCAGAATGCTACAGAATTGGAATATGGCTTGGAATGTGGCTTTAGAAAGACAACCTAGAATTTTGGGCTGACTATCTCATAAGATGACCACTTGGAGAAGAGCTTTTATTTAGCCATACAAATTTTGGGAACAATGAAAGTCACTCAGTCAAGGCAGATAATTTGGGGTGCCATAAAAAATGTGATGTCATCCTCCTGGGACAGCTGTGATTTGAAATACAAAGGTTATTGATGATGAGCTGAGGGGAAGGAAGACATCTCAGTCATTTTGGTATTTTTCAAGCACCTGGCAAGGTGATCTACCTAATAGTTACTGAATAAAAGATTGACTCAATCAAATACTGGACCCTGCCCTAATGGTACTTAAGGTTATTAGAGCAGATAAAATGTCATAAATCACCCTAATATGAGTTAGATGGTGGGCAAGTTTATTATCAAAGGCGGGCAAAGAACTGTGGTAGCTCAGAGGCAGTAGAGATCTCTTCTGGACTGGTGGTAGAGGGCTGGTGAAGGCTTCCTGGAGGAGTTGGCCTGTGAACTGAGTCTTGAGAAGAGATTTAGACAAAGGACACAGGGAGACAGTTTAACTCTATAGTTTAGCACAAGCACCAATGTGTCA